TAAAAATAATAGATAGATTTAAGAAAAGATAGATATTCAAGATATCTTATCTTTATCTTATCTTTTTAATTTTTTGAAATACTGAAAATCTTTATCTTATCTAGATACAAATTTCGTATCTATGAAAAACCCTGTTCATATTACAATGTACAATTTTGGAATGGCATCTTATTGAATATACGGAATGCGAAAGTCAATGATCATATCGAATATTGCGCTTCAGCTTCAAATTCCTTTTCGGAGGTCGATTCAAAAAGAGCCCGTTTGGCTTCTAATTCTGCGCCGAGCCGTTGATGTTCAAGTGCAATTTGTTCGAAAAGTGTTTGATGTCTTTGTTTGGCTCTGGCAACGGCCGCCGAATCCGATGGCACAATTATATTGCCCTTTTGGAAAAACATCAATTAATAGTGTAACATTTTTTATCGGCAAAAAAAGATAATAAATATTTTTTACATCGAAACCAAAAAGTGAAACTCACATTGGCATTTTGTTCTGCAATTCTATTGTATTGTTCGAAATGTCTGAGAGTGGCCAGTTTGACAGCTTCAGATTGTTGGGGTACTTCATTTGGATGGCTCAATACTGGATGGAAACCATCTTTGTCGGCAGCTAAACAGAATATAAATACATTTGTAAGTATTTGTCTATGAATTTTTGTCTTTAAAACGGAAAATGCCGTACTATATTCGACGGAACGAATTTCTTGTCTGGGATCAATGTAAGAGAAGGCTCCATGAACGACTCCACTGCCATCTGACACTTCGCTGTGTGTACGATCTACATGTCCGTTGAAGCGACCAGCTTGGTAGCTGAAGGCATATGGATGAGGTGGTGGGGCTGGTGTGCCAGTTGTTTCATCGTTGTATGTTAAATGAGAAACGTCAGCTGACGAAAGCGATGCGCTTATCACCAAAAACTACGTAAAAAATACAATGTGGCAGACAAACATAAATTTCAAACATTTTGTCTCAAAACAACATCCAATAAAAGTTTATTTTTGTTGATGAATTATGATGGAGTTAAAATGTATTGAGAACTCAAAACCAGAATCGAATGATATCACAGCAACATGAAATCGATAACATATGATTCAGCAAACGAATAAAATATTACCTATTTTGAATATAAAATGACGAAGATGCGCGTGTAATGAACAAAACTGGTTTTAAAAGTTCGAAAATGCGCTGTAGATTTTCAACGTCACACACAATGTCAATTTTTGGCAAACAACACATCGATTGAAAGTTTTTTTACGTTCGATTTCGAATAAACAAAAAGAGATTTCTACCAACAGCGACATTTGAAGGTCAATATAGAATTAATGGCATGCAAGAATACTTTGAAGAAGTATTAAAAATGACATCAAAATTGAGATAAAACCGCAACATTTTAAGACGAAGTCGCAACTGACACGAGGAAACTCTTTTTCGAAGCAACATTTTTAAAATATTATACCATTTATAATAAAACTCACATGGCACAAATATTCGTGAAAAACGTTTATTTATGTTAATTAAGATGGTAAATATCAGGGCCTTTACAAAGTTTCATACATATACTTCACACGTTTGTTTCTTGTCATTCGAATACATACTTAAATAATTTTTTACTTAAAAGAAATCACGTTAATCTTTCATTATTATTTATTGTTTTGGTGCAATTCATGCATTCATTCATTACGTAATGCCAAACGATTTTTAATTTGCATTTATTTCACTTTCTATCCAAAGTCCGTCGCGACATCTGCTCAATTCACTTTTTATTCTCTAGATTATCATTGGTAATATTCAGTTTCACTCAATTTAACAATCATTGAGTAAAACAAAATAATTGAGTGCATTAAGTTTATTTTTTACTTACAATAGCAATGATTCCTTTCATTTTCTCAAAAAGTTCGTTTTCGCTGAATTCCAAATAAATTTTAACTGTTGTGCTTGCAAACGTAACGAGTACACTGATGAACATTTCGATGCGGTACGCGGTTTACGTATCGAGTTAAGTTTTTTTTTACCTCTTTTTCTCGAATTCGCGACCAACAATGTGATTAACGTCAACCTTTACCAAAGCGAATTTAATGATAAACAAAGTGTTCAAAGTCTTCAACTGCAGAGCGTGAGGTAGCGTCAGTTAGCGTGTGTGATGGAGGTAGTGGGCAATGTTGCATTAGACGTCAACCAAATGCTCATTTTAATAATCTGTCAATAGAATGCCACTTGAATGTGTTTTTGTCATGTATTTTAATTAGAAATATTTAATATGATGAAATGTGGTGTTGTTCCAATTAGTTATTTCAACTCGCTAGTTTTAGTTTGCATATTGTCTATCTCACATTTTCAACAAAGTTTTTTTCATTTTCAAATCGGCACTGTTGTAGACAATGTAGTATCGAAAAATAATCGCCACAAACTATACTATTTCGAAACTCATCACGAGTTGATTTGTATCCATCGAAATGAGTTTTCACATTCGAATAGTCTCCAAACATAAATTGCGGCTGAATTATCATTACAACTAAACAATCAGTCGTTTTCAATTTATCAACCGTATTGCATACAACTTTACGATGTGAAAATGCGACACTTCCGTTTACCGCATATACTTTATTCACTAGCAAAAGCGATAAAACACCAAACTAAAGCTGCCTGCTACTTTAATTATTTTTTCTTCATAAATTTAACAGATCTGTCTCGCTCTCTTTCTCTCAATGCAAACACGGAAGCAAATTTTTAATGAGTATTTACATGAAAATTTATAAACTTAGCTTTTATCAAACTGCGTATTTTTTTGTTTAATACACATATTTCCTGAAAGTACGGCATAGAACTAGCACAATAACAGTGCAACTCAATTCGTTGTTATAGTTTAAGTTTTATGGTTGCGAGATTCAAATGGTGAATTTTAAGCATAAAACCAATGTGGGCGCATAATTAAATTTATTATTATCGCTTCGAACACATATGCAAATTATTTTGCATATTAGTGATGACATGCAGCATCCAACGATTTATTCAAATTTGTTTTAATGAAGCAGAATTTAATTTTTAAATTCAATTTAAAAGCATATATTTATAGCATCCTCCGCACTATCCCGAGAACGACAGCACGTGACGTTGCCAGTAAAATCAATTTATTGTTTGCCATAAATATGTTCTGTCGCGTTCAAACCTGTATGCGACAAAGTTTTACACCAATTATTATTTTTCAATTCATTACACTTGATATATCCGTTATCCATTTAGTTACATTGTATTATTGTTATAAAAAAATCTCAAAATATTTTCGGAAAATTTAACGAATTTTTTGTGAAATAATTGAAATTATTTAGCTAATTTTGCATTTATTTAAGATAACCATCAAAATATTTACCAAACAAATTTTACATTATTATCAGTCCATGTGGAATACCAGCATTATTGAGTGATTATTGAATACAGATAATTGTATCTAAACCAATTATTGACTATGGCACGCAGCGTATGGCGCAATTTCCAACATTTTTGCATGAATTTGTATCTTAAAAACAATTGTTTTTGTTATGCCATTTACATTCATAGATAGAAGGGAACACTTTAATATTTTCATTATTATTGAACTTGTTTTTGAACTTTTCGGATTGAAATTATATCCAAATTCAACTGATTTATTCGAAAATGAGAGAGGAAAACTAATATGAAATAGTTATGATGAATAAAATGTTTCACATGTTCAAAATCTACCCCTATAGGGGGTATAAATATTCGAACTATAGTTTCGAAATAAAACTTGAACTATAATTTTTACTATTTTAACAAGTATAAAAGCAGTTCTCACCGAGGGGGAAACCACGGATTCTAATATGTGCTAATTTTTTCTAATATTTCTAGTAAAACGCCATATAACATGTACATTTGACATCTTTCTAATATGTTCTAGTTTTTCTAGTATCGAGTTCGTGGGTAACCCCAAGGTTCTCACCATTAGACTAGAAGTCGAACAAATAAAACAATTAACAGCCCTTATCGATCGGATTTATGCGAGTTTTTGTTGCATTGAAAAAATAATCAAAAAAAGAGAAATGAATGTAATCATGGCCGACGCAGGTAATTTATGCAGTTTCATTTGTTTTTGCGTAGCATTTTGAAATTCCCAATTCTTGGAAAAAAACAAATTGTGTTCTGAGTTCTAATGACTCATTTTCATGTTTGCAATTTCATTTGTTGCCCATGTTTTGCAAATATTGTGAAATTGATCTTCGTTCAAAGTGCATTCTTTTTCGCTCGGAAATCTATTTTATTGTTCAAGATATTGAACAAAAAGAAAGAAGAAAAATGGTAGGAAGACATGAACGTACCTGTGTTCGATGTTCGTTTTTTCATCGTCGTCAAAGGCATATGGCCTATGTTATTATCAGCCGGTGTATATTTGTATGAGATTGGAGACTTTTTTTTGCGAATCTCGCTAATGAGCGCCATCTGATTTTAGTGTGAATTAGATGCAAAAACTGAATTTAATTCTGTAGCATTGAAATGAAAAAGTGAAAAAACAACAACAATAGCACGGCCACCCAGAGCTGTACATCTATGCGTGCTGATGCATACATACACATATACGCTTTCTTCATTCTTTCATTCCATTGCTATACGTATCTCACTGGTCAACAGATCTATGTAGCCATGTTACTGTTGTTGTTTTTTTTCTCTTTTTCGATTCAATTCATTGTAACTAAATTGAGTTCAACTATGGAATACAAGATGGCACAGATGAGGGGAATTCGCATTTTGTCTCTTCATAGGCTTAGCCGGTTGGTTATTATATATACCTCTTCTACATGTGCTTTTTTTATTTTCTCCATTCATTTGCAAATCGTTCAGCACGTGAAAGAAAGAGATGGTATGTGACGGTATGTGGCAAACTGCACTCTTCTCTATGGCTGCTGTTTGCTTTGAGTTTATTAGAAGTTTGTCTTTTTTCGAGTGCGTATCAAAAGGAAGAAATTTTTTTAGCAAGTTTATTTTCTCTTGAAAATTGTGTTGAAAAACAGTTGATTCTATTAACGATTAGCATAAAAGTAAGTGAAGTCCGCATTTTCAACGATTTTAAATTAAATTTAATACAAAAAATCATTCGATAATTTTATTCATTTGTTACTTCGAAACAAACACACATAAAATTTTTACAGTAATACACTTACAAAATCTGTAGAATTTTTAACATTTTACGTATTCTGTAGAATCAATACAGAGACACTATACAGAATTTGTATATTTTCCCAGCAAACAATTGATAGGGCAAATGCATCCATTATGAAGCACATATTGACGGTCGTTTTCGGGGTTAGATTCGTGTGTAGTTTCAGTCATTTCCATAGGTTTGGCATGGTGGAACATTCAGGTGTGAAAACATGGAAAAAGGGAAAGACAACCATTAATATCAGTTGAACTGGGTATAAAATACTTTTTTTAAATTAAAAACTTTACTCACCTACGGGCACTCCCCCTCCGTACAATGTTGTACTATTGTACAACTAGACCACAAGACTTTATATAGTCTGTTCATGTCTAGCTAAGCTAACTATAATAGTTAAAATATTTTATTTTATGTAATTTTTTGAATGTATGATTAATTGATGATGTTTGTTAGTTGACATTGTTGTTGTAGTCCGGCGGTCTTAACAATGAAACTGGCAATGGTACATCAAAGATCCGGCAAAGTCCTATGTAATTTAAAGCAAATACATTAAATAATGAATATTCTGTTTCCAATTGATTCATACCTTTGAGCATAATGCATTTTGCTGCAACAATATCTCGGTGCCAAGTAACTGTTTGTGGAACAACATCATCATCATCAACATTTAATGGCCAATTTTTGTAGGTAACTTTAACCTTTGACATTAAACGCCCAGTCCGAATTTTTTCGTTCACAGCCTCACGATTGCCATCGATAATTTGTCGCTTAATAATTGCACGTTTTCTTCTCAAAACACGTCTGTTGACCGTTGACACAATGATATCTGGCAGTCCAGCGACTGAATCTGGCAGGCCATCAATCTTTTTCGCTCTACAATCGTAGCACACTTTAAATCGATCATCTTTTGTGTGCCTTGGAAAACGTTCCTGACAATTCGCGCATGTTTGTGATGTTCCCCATTCATCTTGCATTTCAACTTCTGAATGTCCAAGTTTCTTAATGCTCACACGAAACTTACGCGATCCCGGACATCTTTTACGCTTTTTTATTCCAAACGGTCGATCGGGTTTCATCGCCCAAGCACCAAATTGAACCAACGACGGTTTGTTGTTTGTCACACGCACGGCGATTTGATCATTTACTCTGGTCGAGCGAATGTGATGGTCTAAATCGAGTCGTGCATATTCACGCGTCGCATAAGCTGCCATTCCTTTTCGTAACATTTTAATGCGATATTCAATGTATGATTTCCATGTTGAATTACGTGGTGATGGTGAACGATATGGGTAGGTTTTGAGATGTTCCTTCTCTTCGATATCAAACCATCCAGCCAACTTTTTCGCTTCTTTGTCTCGTTTTTTCTGCTGAGTTTCCCAATGAAAACGCTGGTTTGGTATTATGATGTTTTCCTTCAAAATGCAAAATGATACAAAAAACTATGAGTTTCTATTCAAAACCATTTCAAATTACATTTCAAAATATCTTACCTCAACAGCCGGCTCATCAGGTGTTTTTTGAATGTTGCGACGCACTACAGTTAACCACGATTTTTCATTCGGATCGATTCCAATGATGTATTTCTTGCCAATGAGTTTTTCCGGCCCCCGATTCGCTTGGGTTGTTTGCTGTGGTCGTTGTTGTCGCTGTGGTCGTTGTTGTTGCTGTGGTTTCTTGTACATTATGGATATTGAAACACTATCGGTCAAAATCTGATGATGGAATGGTTTCGATTTGCCCAATTTATTTATTTTACCGACATCGAACAACATATTCCATAGACCTGATCGATCAGTTTGGGTGTAGTACTTTAAATTTCTCTTATTCATCCGGTTGGTCTGCGTATTGAGAAAAGAAGGCACCAAATCAAGCTCGTTTACAATTTTATAATACAAGTCCTTAATGTCCAATCGCACGTTTTTCAAATGGTAGTCGCATAATGGTATAAGAGCAAAACTGCTTATTTTTGGTGGTCGATTGATTGTTGGCTCTTGAAAGTTCGGATTGTTACGAAACATTTCATGAATGGTATTCCATTGTTCGGCATGACTGTGATACACTTCTATTTGCCGTTGCATTTGACCGAACAACCACAGTGATTCAAACCAACGATATTTTGCGAAAAATTTCATACTCACTGTTCCCGACCATCCAATTTCAGTCAAATCTCTCATTAAAATATTGAATTTTTCAACGCGTTGTGGATCCACATTATTACCATTATTACCATTTGTTAAATTCTTAAATCGATATGAAAACTCTTTGGCATTTCTGATGTCGATGTTATCAAATCTTGAGCCATTGTGGAATCGATTGCGATACCAACAACGCATTCGAAAAAAATTCTCAAGTCGTTTTTCACACCATGTGTTGGTATTGGTTTGAATGTTTGTGATATATTGTTTATAAAAATATCTCAAACCATTTCCCAACTTTTCATCATCTGGCCATCGGAACTGTTCTTCACTGTTTCTTTCTACCATGAAACGAAACTCGGGCAATATCCGATATTGACTATTGATATTGTTAACGTGTTGGTTTAATACCGCTCTGAAACAATCGGCAATGAACAGGCTTGGATGTGGTTTCAAAAAAAATGCACGATCGTCATTATCAAGTGCTTCATTCAAAATAAAAAGAATAGAAAGTGATGCCAATGCTGCCACTTCTGTCATTTGAACACTGCGCTCGAATAGCATTTTGGTCACAACTTCTCCAACTCTTTCAATCCGTTCATGTTGTTGTCGCAGGATTGTTTGAAGTCCACATTTTATTACAACGTATTTGCTTTCTTCTGGTTGATTATCATCGAGCTCGTCGTCATCCATGTCTTATTCTGTTCATTCTCAAAAAACTGATCAAATTATTCGAAAATAAAAAATAGACACAAATTTAGAAAAAAAATGCAACAAAAAAAGCATAGATTACGAATAAAATGAGATCACAATTTAAATGACAATCACTTATATCACAATTCAAATTAATCACTTCTTACCTCAACGATGTCACTCTGTATTCTGATTCAAATGATGAAATGTTTTCCAATATTCCGCAGATGAAAATTTTGTTGGAATATTCACCGTCAATTTTATGAATGCTTTCTTATTTTGAAATAACAACAGAGACAATCTCAAAACCAACAGTGAATTTATCCGTTTAACATCGAACAAACAAAATCATTGGAACAAATGTTAGCCAAAAATGACGACAAACAAAATGTTTCATACTCTAATATAAACACTCACACATAATTCTCAAGAATTCCTTTTACAAGCAAAGCACAATTTGTTACAAACAAAAAATGAGAACACACTCATATCACAATTCAAATCAATAACTTCTTATACTATATAACGCTGTGTCCTGATTAAAACGATGAAAATGTTTTTTTTTATTTTGAAATGAAAACAAAGACTGTCACAAAACGGACTGTGAATCTTTCCATTTGACATCGAGTGACTTCTACAGTTACGTTCCAAACACACCAAACCGTTGCTAAAATGACGATAAACAAAAAATGAATCTCATGTACAAGAATTCCATTTATTAATCACTGAATTTTGTTTTTTTTTTTTCAACACAATGGCAACTTAACCATAATTACTTACCTTATTCTTAACAATAACTTCAAAATATTTTGATGCGAAAAAATCCCTATTTAGTTCAAAGAAATTAATTGATACGATGCAATGTTTACGAAGCACATTTTGAATGTAATCAGAAAAATCGGCTTCGATATGATACACACCAATACACACAGCTACCAACTGTCAAATGTCGTACACATTCAAACATGTTTCGAATTCGAAATTCGAATTTGAATTATGAAATAAAAAAAATAAAAAAAATAAAAAAATGTTTCTGAAACTAAAATCAAATCAAACAAATCTAAAAAAAGGTACATTTATAAATGTATTTCACAGTCACTTGAAATTCCTACGCAATGTTTTTTTTTTTATTCATGCACAATCGAAACACACACAGAGAGAAGAGAGTAAGATTTGTATTTTCATCCTCTTTTTTTTCCGGTTTGTTTTTCAAATTTTATTTGCTTAAAATCAATCGTATGAATACGATATTATGAACTCAACGAGTTTATGTTATTTACATTTGTTTACATTGTATTGCCGCTACAGTTTCTTAGAATATAATAACAAAAAGAGAAACAATCGAAACACACAGAAGATGTTGTTGTGTATCGCAACACGAAAAAGCCGAAAAAGTGGTTCACATTATGCCTATATTCTACCTTCCATTTGACACGAAAATTGCCACAAAAATGGGTTAAAGCGTTACATTTTTTAACGTTAAAATGTCCTAAAAACGTTACATATTTGTTCGTTGGGTTGCTATTTATATGTCAGCGCAGCTCAAAGTGTAAAATGATTATATGTGTGAACAAAATTGTTAATATGGCTGACGTCTTTGTTCATTTGCAACTTTTTTCTTCGTTCAATTCCAAATTATATTCAAGGCGAATTCTCTAAAAATCTATGATTATACACCGTTCAAGAAATATTTGTTGTTTTCTTCATGTTTTGTTAATTTTTTTTTCTCATTCGGACGCCATTTTGATCTTTTTATCCTAATTAAATTTGAAAAAATATTCAATGGTGACTTACTTAAAACATCTGAAGCAGTTCACACACATATAGAGAGTTTGTTGCCATCTGAAACAAAGAACAATTCATCTGAGTATGTGCACAGTAAGGAGAAACACACGAACAACCATAGTTTTCTCTCTTTCTCGTTATTTTTCGGAAATAACTCCAATATCGTAGTGAATTATCAATTCATTTTCACATAATTTCTTGATCGAGTTTGCAAAATCGCAATATATTTGCATATCATAGTAGCATTTGGAAGGCTTTTGGTGGATTTTGTTTAATCTTTTTCATCTATTCACTCCTTAATTTAGATTCAATATGCAAATCTTTGTGAAGACATTGACTGGTAAAACCATTACTTTGGAAGTTGAGCCATCCGATTCCATTGAAAATGTTAAGGCCAAGATCAAAGACAAGGAGGGAATTCCACCAGACCAACAACGATTGATCTTCGCTGGCAAGCAGCTCGAAGACGGTCGCACATTAAGCGACTATAACATTCAAAAGGAGAGTACTCTACATTTGGTGTTGCGTCTCCGTGGTGGTATTATCACATTGAAAATCGAGCCATCTGATACTATCGAAGACGTTGAGGCCAAAGTCAAGGATACAGACTCACGTGCAATCGCAAATCATTTACTTGAATTGACAAAAATGGTTGCAGAATTGCAAAAAAAAAAATGAGGAGAATGCGCAAAAGATTATTGAAATACAAAAACTACACGAACCTATTACCCAAGGAATCAATGACCTTTTAGCCTTTGTAGCCAATGAATTGAGGCTTTCTAAAAAAAATAGGGAAAATTTGCAGTATTAGAGCTCGTGTCTCCCCCTAACTTTAACCTTAAGTTAAAAAAATGCATTTGGTTCCCCGTATTCGTGGTGGAAACTAAACAAATCGACGTGCACAGGGACCAATTCGATGATATTCAATTTAAATTTATCAAGCAAAATAATAAGTAACGTGCTATGCAAACACTATATTCGTGTCAAGAAAAATTGTATTTGATTATTCTGGTTGTTAAAAAATTCAGAAAATGTGCTAAAAATTAAAGGTTTCAAGAGAAAAACACACAGTCTCTCATTTATAGAAAAAAGCAATTTATTTTCTTTATTCCAGAACACGAAAGCGACTCAATTCTAAGAAAAAAGAAAATCGTTTAAATAAAACACACAGCATGCTGTGCAACGCCGTACAGAAAAAAATCTCTTTTATTCAAAACATTGAATTTTACTCCACCATTTATTAAACATGCATTAAAAATAAAGTAGTTTTTGTGGAAAGCGAAAAATAACATTTTCTGAGGCAAATATTTTTGTTTTGGTTGAAAAAAGTGAATTTCGCCCGGATCGACATAAAAAATCTGACAGCCCAACCCATAAGTAGGTAAGGTAAGTTTTATAAAAATAGCTATTTTAAATCTATTTTTTTGTTCTCTTCCATACTAAGCTATGATATATTCAAGTACTTGAAACCAGGTCGTGAGATGTAACTTTTGCAATTTAAACTTAAAATTCAAATGCTTTTTATGGTTTTTGTTGCGTTTGAATTTTGCAAAGGTTTCTTTACCGTTTCATCAACATAATTGGCGTTCTTCATCATCATTAGAAGACTTTGGTCGTTATAGAATGATTTAGCATTCTGTTGGCATCCATTGTGGAAAGTGCATTCGGCACTTGTTTTCCGATATAATAGCAACCACGCCTTTTCAGTGTTAAAACATTTTCCACGTCAACAACAGAGATCTTGTATCTGTGGATAATTTATGATTCGTTGTTATCATATTTATTTTTGAAGTGGATTTCACTTGCTTGTGTCCCCTTAATATGACACCATACATACCTTCTATGTTCTGTATATGTTTTTTTTCGTAACTTTTCCAGCTTATTGTCATTCAAAATAAAAAAAAAGTTTCAATGTACAGGACCGAATAGAAAATGGTAGCTAGCATTAGTGTGATTATTACTTAAATTTGTGCTTCCACTTATCACTTGGGCCATCTGAAGAATGCTCTCGAAAAAAGTGTCCTTCGTGTCCCTTAAATCTTTTTCCATTTATGAAAAATACCTCAATAAAAATATTTCTCTTCTATTTAGAAGCATTGAATGGCCAACAAAGCAACGCATCCTTGAATTGAAGCAAATATTTGTGGTTTTTTTTTTCAATGTCCTGAGAATGTTTCCTCACGTTTTTGAATAGAAAACTGTTTAATTTGCATTTGCATGTGGCCAAAAATTTCAACTGTTACACATGGAATAGTTTTCCATGCGATGAAACCGCGATGCAAAGAAGCGTTAAGCTTCAACATTCCAAACTCCGCACATTTTGCAAGCGGCAAAAGAAATTCCAAAGTGTACGTTTGTTATGGCAAGCAACAATAAAACCGCATAAATCACAGACCGAGTTCAACAATAAACAATTACCACCGACAAAGTCGTTATTACTGTTGGCCATATTTTTGCTGAATGCAAGCGATCGTTGTGCTTGTGTCTGTGTACCGCACACCACAATTATATGCACATAAATTTGGGCCCAACATGAAATTCTTCTGCATTTTGTTCATATCCTCTTGGATTTCCAATCAACAGAGCCCCAACGGTATACTATGTAAAATGATAGTATTTGCATCGAAGCCATACCGTCTGATACTCTCTCTCTCTCTGTCGAAAAGTTGAAAGTTCACGATTGTCTGTCGTCATAGGCTTGCCATTAATCCACAAAACAAGCCAATGCCATAAGTTTTTGGAATTTACATGTGATTTGTTGCTATTGAATGGTTTTACAGCATTTCCCAATTGGAATGAGGATAGTTTATCGAAATGCTTTGTCCTATCGCATCACATCGTTTAGAATACATTCAACACCGTTGTAAACAATTCGAATGTTTTGCATCCCCAGCCAAAATACGTGTGTGAATGGAATGGAATACGAAATCTATAGCCGTTGGTTCCAATGTCGCGACATCACCATTGAAATTACAGCAATAAGGTTTATGAAACTATGTTTTTGACAGTTTTATGAAGAGAAAAAAATGAACGTTATTTTCAGGACAATATAACGACAGTTTTATATACGTGAATACAATTTGAGATATTTTCAACATTTTTACGCGGGAATGATTTTTATACTTTTTTTTCTTACGAAGTACACACAATACGTAAACATGCACAATGTCGAGATTTAATATTACTTTGTATTTCAATTTAATTTCAAATGCACTGGAATAAGATTGCTCAACGAAGCGTTGCAGAGAATCATGGTCCATGTGTATGTGTATTTGTGAATGCGGAGGTGGCATGTGGGAATGTTGCACGCTTGTACAATCAATTACCCAGTTTATTTTCCTGTGTATCGTCGAGCAAGGATATCATACTGCAAATCGGTAATCGGATCGAATGAAATCTAGCGAAAAGTCAATGGTGTGATAGGGTGACGAGTCAAACGAAGTCACAGACCACATAATAAAATTGGATGCATGGGAGTTTCCTCGTTTAAAGGTAAAATAAATATGAAACGATAAATTTGTGTTTAATGTGTGTTACAGTTACGAAACCACACAGTGATAATAATCCAAAGTTAATAACTTTTTCCAATTTCAAGTTATATGGCATACTCTGTGCATTTGCAAGAAAATTGCAATAATTTTTAACTGTAATCCAAATAAGTTTTGATTAAATTTGAAGTAGCACGTCAAGTGTTTGCATCGTTAATTCCATTCGGAATGCATAAAATTTTAATTTTACAAAACAAAAGCGTGCAAATAATTCCAAATTTGATTTCCAATTGAATGCACCATCCTCTGTTCATTTTTTTTTTTGAACGAAAGTTCAACGATAAAAAAATGAGAAAAAATTGTACTCGGTTGCATTTTGTTGACTTTTCACGTTTTCTTCCAGCCGATTAGCTTTTCTTCACATTACATATCAGGATGGTTGTGGCATTCCATTTAAATGGATCGAAGGATATCAAGTAACATACATGACACGTATAGCATGCTATCGTATACATCACATATTAATGCTATATTTCCGATCCGTTTTCATCGAGCAACGGAAGAAAGATGCGCTGTTAAGTAAAAAAAAGACGGAAAAACACACAAAGCGAGAGAGGGAGAGAGAGAGACTTGGTGCGAGAAGAGGAGAGAGGGACAAGTAATGTGTGTGTGCTGTGGTTTATGATGTCAAGCTATTTTGCGGTTCTGCAGTTGATAGCTATTCAATTATGGCCAATGCATGAGCGAATTTTAAGCACAGCATAATATGTTCATAACAGTTTATCCAAACAAGTCACTTTTTTTCGTGATTGCTGATTTTGACCTTTTGCCACTTCTCATTCAGCATAGTTGGGTACAGAATTTGTTGAACGTATGCGAGATATTGATTGCGGAACGTTGACATTTATCATACATAAGAAAAGTTTTGCGGTAACAATTTTTCAGACGTGTACATAAATTTAATTATTTCCTTTTTGCCAGTCAGTGTGGTGGATTGTGAACATGACTCATCGCAGTCGATTCTAAGAAAGAATTCCCATCGCCCGAAGAGAAATATCAATGGAACTTCATTGACAATGGATGTTATTACATCCGTATTGTGTATGTATTCTAAAGTTTTGCCAAACTCTCTTATTGATGCGGAATAGAAAAGCGCATATTTGGCACACACGATTTCACACGGAACAAAGGACGAACCATAGCGTTACTAAATAAGCCTCGTTTTTCATTTTGAAAAACAAACAACCGACCAAAGCTAAAAATGCAAAAATATTTTGAGGTTTTTATACGCTCCCGTTGCTTTTTACATTGTCACGACGCATAACCATGTCTTTTGCAATACCTATTCAACGCCATTAATTCCACGCAAATGACGAATTTATATTATAATAAAATCGTATCATTTTTTTTCTGCTCACACCAAAATGGATCTCATAGCATCACATTGTCATCAGCGTTATTCGTGTCGGTGGCTATGTTTGTATTTGTGCGTGCGTTGCAAATAAGCGGCGTTTATCTCTCCATTTCCATGCGAATGAATTTGAATGCCATTGTTAACTCATCTGCAAGTAATTATATCTCCATTCCTTGCACGTTTGTGCCTGATTCATGTACTTTTGCTGGCGTTTTTTTCGTCTTCAATTTTCGTAGACAGTTTGATTCACACTGATAATCCGATGAATCTTACACACTTTTAAAGGATTTCATTTCAGTTTATGAAAGTATTTTAGCCATGACGAACTTAAGGAGGAAAAGACAAAAACTGCACCTGTTTTTTGTTCTTGACTTAACTTTTTGTTCATTTGCCAAACGTTTTATAAATCGAGACAATTTGCTTTAATTCATTTGTTCACCGAATGTGATTAAACAGATAATTTCTGTGTGCAAATTGCCATAGAAACGAAGTTAAACATTAAAAACCGAATAAACTTCAGAATCATCGCTGGTTTGGTGCACATAATTCAATTATTTTGTGTAAATCTGTTACATGCACTTGTTCGGCTATCGTTTATTATTTTTCGAAAAATATGCGCACACACATTGGCACGTCATTCGAAATTTATTTTAGCATTCACAATGATTCAGTTAAAATCAGCCAGTTGTTTTAACACAACGCATACTATTGTGCGCCTGAATATCGGCATGCGATGATTCCTTTGTTTTGATTGTGTCACTGAACAGCAACGCTTG